GAGACTTATTTAACAACTTTCTTACAAAAATTTCATATGTGAATTTTTTAATAAATATAAAAAAGTTAATAATCTAATAAATTTTTAATAAAATTTTATTACAAAATTTATTAATTTTTTATACAATAATTTTCAATTTTCCATCCCATGACATCTACCCAAACAAGTCTATCTGACTGAAATGGAGAAAATGGTTGTTGCTGCTGATGAGAAGGAAAAGGAGGTTAAATTCGAGAAGGGGAAACGAGATGTAGTTCTCGCTGCTATGCTGCTTATGTTAGGAACAGAGCACGTCCTTATGCAGGCTCTGTTTCCCCCAGGCGGGAACTGCTAAATCCAAAGTTCAATGTCTTTTATTCGGCTGCTTCCTACTTTCACTTTAATTTATTATGCTGCTTTTGGTGTGCCCTTTTCCCCCCTTTTTCCTTTTAGCTATATGTTATAAGTTGCAAGGCTTTGTCTTCGTGTCAGTGTTCAAGTATATATTTAGAATAATTTTTTCCTGAATAATCTTATTTGCTTCTTAGAGTGATTGGTTTTGTGCATCTATTGATTTTGAGACATGCCTTTGATAAGGAAGTATCAACTATATATATTCAGCAAGTCTATTCATTACGGTTATTCTACCCAATTTTGAATGTATGGGTAACTTTCCAATTACATGTATGGTTAATCAAGTAATTAAATAAAGGCTTTGTCTACTTAATAAATATATTTTATAAACATTAAATTATATAGAAAAACTTATTTTTTTTTATATATATTGAAGGGTTAACTGCTTAACATCATATAAATTTGAATTCCTTAACTTGATTTTAAATTAAAGTTTTTAAGTTAGTGAGTACTAATTTGATTAAGTTCTCATTGATTACCTGATATTAATTTTAACACTCTATCATGTAGATGTTTTTAATTGTATAATTAGATAATGTCAGTTTATATTTCTTTATATGTATTAATAGTAAAGGTATAATAAATGTATTTTTAACTTATACCGACATATTAAAAAAACCTTTAAATAAATATCTACAAATTGGTTTAAAAAAAAAAAAAGAAGAAACAACTCATTAATTTGTTGTATAAATTTGCTATAATGAAAAACATGGACATATAAGTGTTGTACCTTCTACGGGGGTTTGGCCTTATCTTTTGAACTGGAAAATCATAAAAGTCAAAGGGAAGTTTCATC